ATTTATAATATGCAGAAAAATATAAAATAAATAATAAATATAAAATACTTATTGTGCATAAAGTGCAGATCTTAACCTAAGTATTTATCTGTTTAATTATTTTAAAACTTAAATATTTTCTAAATTTCAGGTCAAAACAAACAAACGAAATGAGAATAAAATTCAAAATAAATATTTATACCGAGTAATAACCAAAATAAATATTTTCTAAATTTCAGGTCAACTGGTCCCCCTTTGGATGTCTTAATTCCTATCTCAACGGCGAGGTCACAAGGCTGGGAATTCGAAAAACTGCAACTTTGGCTTCCCTTTACTCTCTCGGAAATTGGTTACTGCCTCCTGCAAGAACGGAAGAGCAATTAGCAATTCAGATCCATCTTACAACTGTTATCCTAACTCAGCAAGAAGACACCTATGTTTGGGAAATCAATGGGAAGATATTGGATAAATTCTCTACTGGATCAGTCTACACCTACCTTATGGGAGATGTTCCGACTGTTTTCTGGTCTACACTGGTATGGAGCTCTTATGGTATTCCTCGCCAAAATTTTCTAACTTGGCTTTTCATTCAAAACAGATGTCCTACAAAAGATAGACTACTCAGTTGGGGTCTGCAAGTGGACCCACTTTGTTCTTTATGCAACGCTGCTCCGGAATCTCGCAACCATCTCTTCTTCGCATGCACTTTTAGCTTCCAAATCTGGTCTGCGATAACGGCTCGTTGTGGTGTGCATGCGCGGTCTGACTGGGACGAAACAGTGATCCAATTACAAAACTTCAGAGGAAATAAGAACTTGAGACGGCTTCTGCTACTTGCCTGGCAATCGACTATCTATTCACTCTGGAGAGAAAGAAACCTGAGGATCCACCAAAAGATCTACCGTTCTGGTGACGTTATCATCTCTTTCTTGGACAAACAGATCAGAAATCAAATCCAGAGTTTTAGACTCTCTAGACCTCGTCAATCCTCTCTCATGATGCAGCTTTGGTTTTCAACAGACTGATCTCCTCCCCTCTCTCTCACGGTGATTTTCTCCGTCTCCTCCGTCCAACGTCACAACTTCGTCTTTTGACAAAGTTCTGTTTTGTTACTGGGCTTTTACTGGGCTTTTAGTTCTTTAATATGTGTTCTGATTTTCAAAAATTTACTGGGCCTATCTCAAACAAAACTAAAGCTATGGGGGCTTGTACCTTTTTTATTTTTCTTTGCAGTTTTTAATATGAAAGCCATTTACAAAAAAAATAACCAAAATATAAAAAAAAAACATAGCAAGAGAAAAATGGAAAATAAATAGGATTGACACGTGAACGTAAACTTCTCATAACTGGAAGATAAATAGGATTGACACGTGAACGTAAACTTCTCATAACCATAATTAATTTTTAAATTGTTAAATCATGATATAAAATTGAGTTAATTTTTAATTTGTTAACTTTTATTTTTTTTTTAATTTTTTAAATCATTATGGTTATGTTAAATCATGACAATAATTAATTTTAAATTGTTTATTTGTATTCAAAAAACTTTAAATATTGCTTTTAAAAATAATTTTAAATTTAACATAATTTTTTAGAAAATTATTTTTAAAAAAATATAATTTTTAAAAAATATAATTTTCTAATATTATTAGACAAAGAAATAAATTATATTAAATTAGTTTAGAAACTTTATATATTTTAATTGCAAATATTTTACCAATTGCTTCTTTAAAAACATTAGGGAACTTGCTATACTCTACCAATCAAGCCCACTCCATTTATTTTCCATCACTCGAACACTAAAAAGTAAAAAGATATATGAAATCAGATCCATTAAATTCTAAGATTTGCTTTACATTTCTAATTAAGGTTGTTTTTGATCATACGTATAGATAATTATATAAAAATTCCAAAATTCTAAAATTTCAAATACATACAAAAACAATCATATGTAAATTTTAAATTTGTGAATATTAAAATTTTATATTTTAATTACATATATTGCGCAGGTCTTATCCTAGTGAATAACTATGAAGTTACATTGAATAAATAAAATTACTATCTTTGTAAAACAAATTAAAAGCTCAAAACTGCTATTTTTTCGTGGAACTGAAGGAATATAAATTTGGGATTGTTGAACTGAATTTTGCCGCAAAAGACAATAAACTTGAAACTATCAAATCTGCTTCTGTTGAGAGCTTTTTCTCTTGTGTGGGATTAAAAGTTTTGAGAAGTAAAAGTTTAATTTCTCGAAAGAAAAAAGGGTACAAAATTTTCACCATCTTTATATAATAGTATGAAACAACACTGCTCTGTCTTTTTTCACCATTGCTTCTTTCCCTTTTTCTTCTTCTTACTGCTACTAGCAGTTGTTGCAGAAGTAGGGCTCTCGGCGGCATTATCAAACATACCAGCTTGTGCGGCGTTCTGCAACCACTCGTAGAACTCTTCCTCTGTCATTGTTTCATCCATGTTTGCATTTGGCATTCTCTGGTTACCTCTTTGCCCTGATGAACCACTTGTTCCTCGTTTTGCACCTGTCACGTTTGTGTTCACATGGAAACTTGGCTTGTGTGTGTTTGCAGGACATCTCATTCCCTTACAACAATTCAAACAAAAGCAAAAGTTTCAACCCTTCCGAAACAAACAAAACCAAGCGAATCTCTTATGAAATGCCAAAAAGCATTTTGGAGGGTACCTGACAGATATACCACTCAGAAGCTTCATATACTTTGCTGTCTGCACAAACGTAAGCCCGCGGCAGATCAACCTGCGTTACAACAACAAACCTTACACATGAGAATGAGAAACCATACCAATCTAGTAATGTTGTGGACCAACCAGTACAGTGTCTATTTCTATTCTCAAATCTTTTTTCAATACAGAGTATTTACCAAAGCTGAAACAATATTTTTTTCTGTATAAAATACCTTTTGAATCAATCCGAACAAGACGTGCTGTGAAGACTGTTCAACCCAACCATCTCCATCTTTTGCTTGATGAAAATCCTTACAATCCTTGAGATACAAAAACAGAGAGCTAGGGTGAATCGGTTGAGTACTTCCTCTCAGGAAGGTTCATCATTAATGTAAAAATAAAGCATCTCTATGATAAAGATGAAGAACTGGAAAAAAACCTGGCACCATCTTGCTGTAGATTTTGATTTCTTTGTTAAATACCAGGCATGGAAATTGCCACATTTTTTACACGCTATTTGTCTACACTCTCTTAGAGCTTCCTCTCCTTCACCTTCTGAGCTTCCAAAACTGTGTCCTCTAGTGTCCTGGTTCTTGATTATGTATTAAGTTTAGCAGCTAAAAATAAAGACAAATAGCCGAGTAGAGAGCCCAGATGGGAAAATATTGAGGAAATAAGTAAAGAGAGAAAAGCAGAGAAAACATGACACTTTGAGCAACAAAGATGAAATAACAGCCAGACAACTACAAACATACCCTTTGAGAATTATTCTGAAACCTTCGAAGGTAGTTGAGTAGTTCTTCTTTCTTTAATTCATCGTCATATGATTTCCGTTTTATAGAATCAAGCAACACCTAAAGGCCAGCTAGGAAGATCAGAGATGGAGGAACTTGATGCATCGATACAAATAGCAAAAAAAAAAAGAGTACCTCATAGGCATTCTGAAGTTTCTTAAAAGCTTCAGCTGCTTTCTCATTCCCCATATTCTTATCAGGATGTACCAGCATCGCCTATTAAATCATTCACAATGCTTATAAACTCAATATATGTTATTGTTGCTTATGAGTCTTAAAGAGAGAGCTAAACAGCATTACCTTCTTCCTATATTCTCGCTTGATATAAGCCATGTCAACGTTCCCATACCGAGGTACCCCCAAAGCTGAGTAGTGGTCAGCACAGTTCAGTAACCGAGCAACTTCACCTTCAGAAGTTAACTCAGAGTCTGTTCCACTAGTTGACGGGACTTCTGAGCCACGGTCTCCAGGAAAGCCAGGGCCGTTTTCAAAAGAGGAACCATTTAAGGGATCAGTGGATCCATCATCAGTGCTCTGTTGGTTTATTTTGTTCTTGAAGAAATATATAAGAGCATCGGTTGAGATGAAAGCAAGATTAAAAGCCAAAAGAAGACCTAGCCATCCGACATAACCCAATGCACTATAGACTGAGTACACTGTGAGGATAAACAGTGCAATACGCTCGTGCTTCATCATGAATGTCAGACCTTTATATCAATAAACATTGCACAATGTATCAGACACAATGAAGTATTGTTTCCTCTACAAGATTGAGACAGGGAGGGAGTTTGTTTACCTCCGACGAAGAGGAACAGCAGTGTTGTCCAAAAGCTACCATAGAGCCACAAGAAAATCAAACTAGAAACAGCAAGGGTGATGGATCCAACAACAAATCCAATGAACAAAGACACTAGAACAGTTGCAACCTGTAATCATCACCGAATATTATTAACATATGAAATAAAAACTAAACAAATAAGCAATTTTACTTAAGATTCTTACCGACATCAGTATAAATTTGGTCAAGCCGATCATACAAAACGCTGAGAAGACACCACACCACATGATTGAGAAAAACGACGCAGTCCCCATCCTGATAAAAGAATCAAACCCTCGGATTGCACAGTCCAACCAAACCAGAGACAAAAGAAGAACTATACTGCCAAAGTGCATAAGCCATTTAAAAACAACCGGACATACTACCCGAATCTTCTTTGCAACAACGTCACGAGCCTTATACACTCTTGTTCTGACAGAAACAATCAAAGGCCTGTTTCTTTCCATCCACTGACTCACTTCCCTTGACACAGTAGCAGCGGGTATCCTCAGTTTCCTGATCACTGCATCATACGCTAGCCCAATATTCTCAGAAGGGCTGTTGGTTCTCAGAATAAACAGCAAGCTTCTCATAAGACCGTTGATGTATTCACGATCAAATGGAGTGTTTCTAGTCTCTTCAGGTTCGTTATTATCTCCAGTCTCTGAAGCAACAGGCTGATCTATATCTTTGACAAATGAATCCATGTCTCTCTCTGGAGTTTCACTACTTGTAGTGTGTTTATCATCTTGGAGATTCTGTTTCATGACACTCTCGGCGGCGGCTTCATTAGCTTTCCCTTGTCCCTTTTTGGTGGGTAAAGAATCAGAAGGTTTCTTCTTTTGCTTGGTTTGGTTTGGTTCTACTCCGTTCTTCTGATGGCTTCCTTTACGAGCCATGATGACTAGTTTAATCAAGTTAGTTGTAAAGTGAAATCAACTGAGACTTTCTCTAGCATACCCTGCCACAGGAAAAGGCAGAGGAATCAAATAAGATTACAGTAGTCAAATCAAAGAACTTTCAGCAAGCTTTGGACATGGCAGCAAAATATAAAAAAAGTTCAAATCTTTGTACATAAAGGAGGAAACTTTCTTGTCAGGAAAGAAATTGAGATCAAACCCATGAAAAAAGCTTTCGAATTTCGTGGAAATAAAGCGAAATTAATCAAGGAACAGTGTAAAGAGGTGTGGTCGAAGAAAGACGAGGTTGTAAGAATTGGGGAAGAAACAAAAAAAGGTAGTACCTGACTCTCTGATTCGAAACGAGAGGCGCAGAGAAGGAAGGAGATTCCATGAGAAGAAGAGGAAGAAAGTCAATTACAAGTGTGCCCTAGAGAGCATCATCAATCGATTGGTTTGTTTGCTTGTAATCGATGAACCGAATTGGGATTTTATTAGAAGAAACTAGGAAACACACAGAAGAAAGCGAATGAAGAGAAAGAAAAAAAAAAGAGGCTTTCAATTTGCAAACTTTGGAGTAGAGAGACGGAGGCGATCAGATAACCGAGGTTTCGACCGGCGATGTCACTGTTTTTAAGTTTAGCTCTAAACTCATATCATTTATATTTATTTATCTATACAGATTTTTCGCAATGGAGCTCTCACGTTAAAAGTTGGAGTGGTTAATATCGATTCTACCCTTAATGAATAAATTATATAAATTAATTATATATAAAAACGAATTTTAATTTATTTTATTAGATAATTAATTTTAATCAATAACAATAAGAGTTATCCAAAATCAAAAATATATTTTATTTTAAAAAGATAACTCCTATATATATTGTATTGTTATCTGAAACTATCTTTTCATAAAATATTTAAAAATTCAAAAACAGAAAACAATAATTAAATATTAATTAATTAAAATTCTTAATTTTATATAATTGAAAAAATAATATTGAATAATTTTTAATAAAAGTAAAAATTTTGAAAATGATTTTTAATTAGTAATATATTTACTAACAAATAATTATAAAAAGCTTAAGCAAAGTAATTTTTCGTAACGGGGCTCCCACGTTAAAAGTTAGCGCGATTAATATCGTTTATACCATTAATGAATAAATTATATAAATCAATTATATATAAAAACGAATTTAAATTTATTTTAATAGATAAGTTATTTTAAACAATAACAATAAGAGTTATCCAAATCCAAAAATATATTTTATTTTAAACAGATAATTCATATATATATTGTATTGTTATCTGAAAGCTATCTTTGATAAAATATTTAAAAATTCAAAAACAGAAAATAAATAATTAAATATTAATTAATTAAAATTCATAATTTTTCATAAATGAAAAAATAATATTTGAATAATTTTAAGATTAAAAATTTTCAAAATGAAAACACAAACAATAATATATGCTTATAATTTTAATTAGTAATATATTTAATTAATATATATATAATTATAAAATACTTAAGCCCGCATGGCGGGCAAAACACCTAGTTCTAATATATTCACTTCCCGTTTTGTGAAAAAGAAAAAAAAAACACTACTTCCAAGTAATATTTTTGAATAAAATTAAAGTATATATAAAAACACTTTACAAACCTTGAAGATTACATCCAAGATGCTGGAATTATGGTTTTTTTATATGGTTATAAACTGATTTTATAAAAAAAGAAATTATACAATTTAGCTGGTTTTACAATGGGTTGCCAAATAGTATTTTGTTTATAAAGTAGTTTAAAATGCATTATGTTTTTGTTTTGCTTTTACTAATTTGATCAATTATTTACTGCAAAGAAGGTAACTTTTAAGGAAGCAAGAGAGAACATCGACCTAATGTTCACTCACTTGCAATTGTGATGATCAAAATCCCTATAGCAAACAGGGGAAAAGCAGAGCACTTAAGAGCTTTGGTAAATGCTTTAAAACCGATCCTTTGCATCTTCTTCTTTTTTGCAACAGAGTTGGGTCATTATCATTCAATACCTAAAGATGAATACTTCTGCTAAACAATCCACGTCCAAAGTTTAGCTGCTTTGAATAGTATTCGGTTGCCACTTTTGTATTTATATGTTGACTACTGACTTCTACACTCAATTAAGTGGTCCGTGTTTTGCCCCTAATAACCTATCTATCTTGTGAGCCACACAGTGGAGAAGAGTCAAGCAACGTAACATTTAACTCTTATCATCGTTTTAATGCTTAACACTCTCTATATATTGTTAAATAGTTGTTCTCGCTGCAAAACCAAATCAAACATACCAAAGTTTCTTCTTCAATATCTTTGTTTTGTTTCTTTATTTTCCAAAATGGTGAAACGGTGTTTCCATGTTTCTTCCATCTCCTCTTTCTTGTCTTGTCTCTTTGTCTCCAGCTTCTTTGTCCAAACTCTTGTGTCTCTACCCTTTCCTCGTCCAGACCAAATTGAGATCCTTATGGAGTTTAAGAACGAGTTTCCAACCCTCAAATGCGACTTCAATAAGTTTCCTTACTCAAGACAAAAGACAGAATCTTGGACCAGCAAAGACGTTAAGTCTTTTGATGGGGTTGGATTTGATAACGAGACTGGTCTGGTTACGGTACTAAACCTACTTGGTGCATGTCTCAGTGGAAGTCTCAGTGCTAATAGTAGCCTTTTCAGACTACACCACCTCAGGTATCTCGGTCTCTCTTACAACTACTTTGATTCCTCATTCCTCCCCGAACTTGTCAAACTCACAAACTTAGAGGTCTTGGATCTTTCTAATATGGGCTTAGTTGGTGAAATTCCATCCTCATTCAGTAGCCTAAACCGTTTAAAAGACTTGCGTCTTGCCGGTAACAAGTTTATCGGTAGTGTTTCCCCTCTACTCAATCTATCAAAGCTCTCTTCTTTAGATCTTTCTAATAACGAGCTTATCGGTAGTGTTTCCCCTCTAGTCAATCTATCAAACCTCTATTATTTATTCCTTAGTGATAATCTCTTCTCTGGAAACATTCCTTGCTCTCTACTCAACATGCCTTTCCTGTCAAGACTTTTTTTGAGCAATAACCATCTCATCAACTCTCTTGAAACTATGAATTGCTCTTCACCATCTAATCTTGAGAGGTTATTCCTTGACGGTAATCGTCTCAGTGGTCGAATTCTAGAGCCTCTCTCAGAATTAACCAACCTCAAATACCTTGACCTATCTTTTCAGAACAGAACCGATCCAATCAACTTCGTTTCCTTGGGCTTCAAGTCTTTAGAGTCACTGGATCTTTCCGGAAATGTTGTATCAAGGTTTAATATCGGATCACCAAATTTAAGGGAACTATACTTGGATAACTGCAGCATCAGCGAGTTCCCGCCATTTATTAAAAACCTACTGAGTATGGTAGATTTGAAAATTTCAAATAATAGACTCAAAGGAGAAGTGCCTCAATGGTTATGGAGTATGCCTTTTTTGATTGAACTGTATCTGTCTCACAACTCCCTTGATAACTTTGAAAACTTGCCAAAAACGCTTCTCATCAGTTCGTCGCTTCAGTTATTAGACCTGAGGTCAAATGCTTTTCGAGGTGAATCTCTTCCTATTATTTCACCGAGATTGTGGATCATGCTTGCATCAAACAATAGTTTCTCAGGAGACATACCTCTTTCATTGTGTAACCAAAGAGACCTAAGTGTCATTGATCTATCTCACAACAACTTCACTGGTTCAATCCCCCCATGCTTGATGAATTCTTCAATAGAATCTCTGAATCTCCGAAACAACAATCTCATTGGGAGACTTCCCAACATATTCGACAAAAACGGCTCACTAGCAACACTTGACGTTAGCCACAATCAAATAAATGGGAAGCTTCCAAGGTCTCTTACAAATCTCCCAAACCTAGAGTATCTAAACGTGGAGGGAAATAGAATCTCTGACACTTTTCCGTTTTGGATTCAAGAACTACCGAAGCTAAGAGTCTTGGTCCTACGATCAAACATGTTCCATGGTCCTATCTATTCTCCTCAACATCCTATATCATTTCCACAACTGCGGATGGTTGACATATCTTGTAACAAATTCACCGGAAGATTACCAAATGATTATTTTTGCAATTGGAGTGCACCCTTGATCAGTACTCTTCAAGAGGAAGGAGATCCACTGTACATGAGAGGTGATAAGTTGAATGTGTATCACCCTTCCATGTATTTGAGAAACAAAGGTATAAACATGGAGCTGGAAAAGATTCTTGTGACTTACACAGCCATTGATTTTTCTGAAAACAAATTTGGAGGACAGATTCCAGAATCTATAGGTCTTTTGAAGTCGCTGATTGTTCTCAACTTATCCAACAATGATTTCACTGGTCATATTCCATCTTCTTGGGCTAATCTCACAAGGCTGGAGTCACTAGACCTATCACAGAACCAACTCTCCGGAAATATCCCTAAAGAGCTGGCAACCCTCTCGTTCTTGGAGTATATCAACGTTTCGCATAATAAACTCACGGGAACGATACCACAGTCCACGCAGATTGGAGGACAACCTAAATCATCTTTTGAAGGGAATCTTAATCTTTGTGGTCTTCCTCTTGAGGAGAGTTGCTTCAGAGACAAGGCACCAGAGACACAAAAGCCAGAACCTCTAAAGAAAGAATTTTTGAATTGGAAAGCAGTGGCAATGGGATATGGCCTTGGAGTCTTGTTTGGTCTGGTGATTGGACAAGCTTTTTATTCGTATAAACCGGTGTTGTTCTTCAAGTTGTTTCGCCTTTGAAATGAAGTTTGTGCATTTGGTGTTGTTTAAATAAGTGTAAGGGTTTCTGTAACCTTTGGGACACATAGATATGTTTGCGTGTGTTTTTTTTTTTTTAAAAGATATGTATGTGTGTGAGTGAGTGATATGGACATTGATAAGTATTATCTCATGAAAGTTAGACTACTCACACATGTCTTAAATAAATAAAATTGGAACTCAAATTTCCTTACACAAACATGAAAACAGAGAAAGTCTGTCTACTCTGTTCTTACTCAAAGACAGTATACGCTTTAGTTTATTTTCTAGTTATTACACGATGGCTAGAGGCAAGGTAGTGGCTGTTACTGATGATTGATAGATGCATGAGGCCCCTAACACAGCTACTTAGAGCAACCACATTGAGGTATTATAGGGGGTTCATGGTAAATTTGAGGAGGCAAAAAGAACACATTCAAAGTAATTGGCATTGATCAAGAGAGAACATCAACATAATGCTGTCACTTACAATGTGATGATGATCAATGCGCGTACTGCAAACATTGATCTTGCCTTGGTAAGAAAGTAAAAGCTGCTTACTTTTTATTCCTTCCGACTCAAACGCCGTCGTTTCGGTTTCCCCTGACCTCTTGTATATTTTTGCCGTCTGTTTAGGGTGTAGCCCAAATGATTATAGGCCCGGCCCGTTTGTATTTTTATAAATTTAAACAAAGTGTTCTTCTAATATTCTAGTGCATACATAATATAAATTATAGGACTATTTAAATATTGGTATAAATTGTATTCCTATACCTCTGAATTTTATAAATAGATTTTTATCATCACTTAAACCCCGAAAAAAGTATCATTATAT